AATGCCGAGCTGCTTGAGCCCTTAATAGGAACACAGAAAATCTCCTCAGAGAAGAACACAAACCAAAATAATTGTCTACCGATCTGTACTACATTTCTTTATGCCATGACATTTTCTTATCCTTGTATGGGAGAAATATGCTTAAAGAACAGTCTGGTCGAAAGCTTATGGGTAAGACTCGGAGAGAGAGGCAACAAAGGGAACCTCATGGTTGGTGTCTACTACAGGCCGCTAGATCAAGAGGAGCCGACTGACGAAGCGTTATTCCTCCAACTCCGGGAGGCTTCGCGCTCGCAGGCTCTCGTCCTCCTGGGGGACTTCAACCACCCCGACATCTGCTGGAAAACCAACACGGCAAGCTGTAGGCAATCCAGCAGGTTTCTCGAATGCATTGAGGACAACTTCTTAAGCCAGGTAATAGACACCCCTACCCGAGGGGATGCAATACTGGACCTGGTGGTCACCAATGCAAGCGAGCTCGTCGGAGATGTCAAGATCGGAGGCAGCCTGGGCTGCAGTGATCGTGCGCTGGTAGAGCTCACGCTCCTGAGGGAAATGGGAAGAACAAAGAGTACGGTCAGGACTCTGAATTTTAGAAAAGAAAAATTCCAGCTCCTCAAGGACATAGTCAGAAGGACTCCCTGGGAAATGGTCCTCAGGGACAGGGGAACAGAACAGAGCTGGCAGATCTTTAAGGATGTGATCCACAGAGCGCAAGAGCTCTCGATCCCTAGGTCTAAGAAATCAGGCAAAGAAGGGAAGAGACCGGCGTGGCTGAGACAAGAGATGCTGGTCGAACTAAGGAAGAAGAGGGAACTGCACAGGCAGTGGAAGCAGGGACAGGTATCCTGGGAAGAATATAGGGAAGCGGTCAGGTTGTGTAGGAATGGGGTCAGGAAGGCCAAGGCGCAGCTGGAACTGAACTTGGCTAGGGATGCGAAGAATAATAAGAAGGGTTTCTACAGGTATATCAGCCGGAAAAGGATGGTTAAAGAAAGTGTACCCCCACTGATGAGCAAGACTGGCAGGCTGGTAACAGCAGATGAGGAGAAGGCTGAGGTACTCAACACCTTTTTTGCCTCAGTCTTCACTGGCAACCTCTCTCCTCACCCCTCCCAAGTCGATGGATGGCATGAGGGGGAC